GGGGAAAGAAAGGAAAAGAGGAAGGGAAGAGGGAGGGGAAGAAGAGGAAAGAGAAACGAGAGAGAGAGAGAAAGGGGTGGAAAGGCGACGTTTGATGACGAGGGAGAGAGAGAGAGAGAGAGAGAGAGAGAGAGAGAGAGAGAGAGAGAGAGAGAGAGAGAGAGGGAGAGAGAGAGAGTTATGGATCTGTGCGAAAGGGAGATAACGATTCGTGATGACGTGTTTGACGAAGGGTGTGGGGGGGGGGGGAGGCAGGGAATAGGGGGGGGGGGGGAAGGGGAAGTGAGCTATGGGGGGGAGGGTAGTGGGTTTGGGTGTGTGTGTGTGGGGGGGGGGTAGGAGAAGGCTGGGAAATAAGGATTGGGGAGGGGAGTTGGGGAGGGGGGGGCAGTGTGGACAGCGTGCAATGGAATATTTAGAAGGAAGCGATCCCTTTGATGAATGCCTGGGAGAGCACTTGCACCACACAAGTAGGTTAAGTTAAATGTATGTGTGTGTATGAATGTATGTGTACAGATACGTGTTTATATTCTGTGTATTTATAAAGATACGTCTTTGTATTCTGTGTATGTATACATGTGTGCATATATGTGCGGGTATGCTATATGTATATCACATGTACATAATACAGAATGAGTAGTGTATAGTATTTCGTTATTTTTTCTCTTGTTAAAGTATGTTTAATTGGCAAATAATGTTCGTTATCTGCTTAGAATTAATTGCAAGTCAGAGGATAACGATATACATGAAAATATAATTAACATTAGGACATTCGATATAAAGAAAAAAAAGCTAGGTGTGTATTTATAATTATTTTCTTTGCGTGTCCAAGCAATCTGGAAAATGCGTTCGGTTTTGTGTGTGTGTTTGTGCTTGCAGGAGATAGATAGATAGAGATCGAGGTAGATAGATGAGAGAGAGAGAGAGAGAGAGAGAAAGAGAGAGAGAGAGAGAGAGAAAGAGAAAGAGAGAGTTAGAGAGAGACAGAAAAAAAGAGAGAGAGAGAGAGAGAGAGAGAGAAGTGTGTATACATATATGTATGTATGCATGTTTGTTTATATGTATGAATGTATATATGTATGTATGTATGTGTGTGTGTGTGCGTGCGAGCGTCGAAGTAGGGCGGGTGAGTATTAATTACGGGGGGGAGGGGGAGGGCGATAGGGGGGGGGGAGAATTAAGACTTTCAGCCTGACTTTTCTGAGGCCGAAAGAGGTCCTCACTTGTTGATCGACTTTCTCTTTCTCTTTTCTTTCTGTTTTTTTTTTTTCTTCCTCTTTTCCGTGTCTGTTTTCTTTCCTTTTTTGTGTTTTTGTTTGTTTCCTTTGAATCCTGTTTCTCTCTCTCTTTCTCTTTCCCTTTCTTTCCCTTTCTTTCTTTCTTTCTTTCTCTCATTCTCTCTTTCTCTCATTCTCTTTCTCACTTTCCTTCTTTCTCTCTTCCCCTTCCTATTCTCTCCTTTATCAACTCAGTTCTTTTACGAATGCTCTTCTTTATATTTCTTCCCTTCCCTCTCCGTCTTATCCTCTTCCTTATTTATTTATCTCCGTCACTACCTTTTGGACCCAGGCCTTACCCCCCCCCCCCACCTGCCCCTCCTCCTCCTCCTCCTCCTCCTGCGCTTCTCCGGTTTACCGTCCACTTATTTCTCCCCTTCCTTCTCCGCCTCCTCTTTCTTCTCCTTCTCTTCTTCCTTCTCCTCTTCCTCCTCCTACTCTTCCTCTTCCTCTTTCTCCGTCTCCTTTTCCTGTTACTCTTGCTGCTTCTCCTACTCGCTCTCATCTCCCCCCTCTACCTCTCCCCCCTCTTCCTCTTCTTCCTTTCCCTCCTTCTCCTCCTCATCCTCCTCCTCTTCCTCTACCTCCTCCTCTCCCCCTCCTCATCCCCCCCCCCACCGTCTCCCAAGCATCCGCCCCGCCCTTGCTTGCGCTTCCCCGCCCCCCCCCCACTCTCGAACCTCTCATCCTCATCCTTCTCTCTCTCTCCTCCTCTTTCGTGCTCTTCCTCTTCGTCTTTTTTCTTCTTCTTCTTTTCCTCTTCCTCTGGTGTCTCTTCTCTCTTTCATTGGTTCTCCTTTCGTCCCTCTTCGTTGGTCCTTTTCCTTAATCCTTTCTCTCCTCCGTCTCGATCTCCTTTTTCTCCTCCCCCCCCTCCTCCTCCTCCTCCCTCTCCTCCTCCCTCTCCTCCTCCCTCTCCTCCTCCCTCTCCTACTCCTCCTCCTCCCTCTCCTTCTCCCTCTCCTCCTCCCTCTCCTCCTCCCTCTCCTCCTCCCTCTCCTCCTCCTTCTTCTGCCCCCTCCCTCCCCCGTGGTCAGCTCCCCTCACAGATCAATACGCTGTGTGTGGCCCTCCTTCCCCTCTCTCCTCTCCCCTCTCTCCTCTCCCTCCTTCCCTTCCCTCCTTCCCTCTCCCCTTACTCCCTTTCTTCTCCCTCCGTAGTCTTCCCCCTCTCTCCTTCTCTCTCCTCTTCCTCTCTCTCTCTCTCTCTCTCTCTCTCTCTCTCTCTCTCTCTCTCTCTCTCTCTCTCTCTCTCTCTCTCTCTCTTTTTCCCTCCCTCCCCCTCGTTTTCTCTCTCTCCTTTCCCCTTTCCCTCACCCTTTCCCTTCTGTCTCCTCTCTTCTTTCCCCTCCCTCTCCCTCTCTCTCTACCCCCTCCCCCCCCCCGCCCCAGCCCACCTCGGCGCACTCGCACTGCAACGCGGGCGGATGGGCGTGAGGATACATGGGTATGAGGATCCATGGGCGTGAGGATCCATGGGTGTGAGGATCCATGGGCGTGAGGATCCATGGGCGTCAGGATACATGGGGCTGTTACTTTGTGCGAACTGTGGGCGTGTTTTTGGTTGGAATAGGTTGGGGGGGGGGGGGATGGGAAAGGGGCGTGGCTGAGATCCTGGTTGGGGTGGGGTGGGGTGGGGTGGGGGGTGTTATCCTCTCCCTCTCCTTATATCCCTTCATCCTTCCCTCTCCCTCTCCATCTCCTTTTATCCTCTATTTTGCTCCCCTTCCCCTACCTCTGTCTATCCTTTTATTCCTCTCCTCTCCTCTCCTCTCCAATCCCTTTCTCCTCCCTCTCCTCTCTCTCCTCTCCTCCCTCTCCTTCTCTCTCTCCTCCCTCTCCTCTCTCTCCTCTCCTCCCTCTCCTTCTCTCTCTCCTCCCTCTCCTCTCTCTCCTCTCCTCCCTCTCCTTCTCTCTCTCCTCTCCTCCCTCTTCTCCCTTTCTCTCTCTCCCCCCTCTTCTTCATCTCCCTCTTCTTCTCCCTCTCCTCCCTCCTTCTCCTCTCCACTGCCTCTACTTCTCCCTCTCCCCTCCCTCTTCATCTCCCTCTTCCTCCTCCTCATCTCCCTCTTCCTCCTCCTCATCCTCCTCCCCACATCCTTCTCCATCTATCTTTTCACCCCCGCCATCGCGCACCCCCCCCCCCCCCCCCCCCCACCTAGTTTCTTATCATTATCTTCCCGATGAATAAGACGATTCAGAACTATGAGGAATTTTCAACTTCAATTGAGATTTCTTTTTCTTGCAACACTTATTAAGGCACGTGTTTCCTCTATGTGATTTCGATCGGTTGCGTCATGGCTAGGGATATAGACGACACAAAAGAATATTCATTTGTTTTTTTGTTTTTCAATTCTGAGAAAATCTCTCTCTCTCTCTCTCTCTCTCTCTCTCTCTCTCTCTCTCTCTCTCTCTCTCTCTCTCTCTCTCTCGCTCTCTGAGGAAAACAAAACCTTATTTTACACATTCACACGCGCGCGCGCGCGCTGACGTAGATTCTCGTTTTAGCGCGACATTCTCTCTCGGCTACGTCATGAGTTCTTTGTGACGTCACTCCTTTGTCATGACGTCATCGATTCGTTCCTCGTGGAGTGACGTCATCTCACGTGGTGCAATAATTAAGATCTGAAAAAAAGATGAAGTTCAAAGCGGTTACTCATGAGTGTTTGAACAGTTGTCTTGATCATTGCGTGTAATTGGATGACTGAGACTTCATTATGGAAGGATCATTCGTGTTAACGGTCAAATCGAAGGAGAAAAAACAATTTTGCTGTTTTTTCTTCTTCTTCTTCTAATTCTCCTACTCCTCCTTTTTCTTCTTCTTCTTCTTCTTCTTCTTCTTCTTCTTCACTTGGCAAACGAGCGACTGTTGATCGATATTATTAAACAATCTTTATGGTGTTTTTGTTGTTATTATTATTTTTTTAAGAAAAGAAAGAAGTTCGTATTGCGTAAGTAAAATATTCATTTCTTTCGGTTTATTTCCTTTCTTTTTTTTCTCCCAATTTTCTCCTGTTTCTTGATTTCTCGGATTTGCATAATCTGCCTCACTTCTTCTCCTGTCTTCTCTTCCCCTCGCCCTCCTCATAGCATCTGTGAATTTAAAAAGGAGTGAAGAAAAATAAGCCAAGAATGGTGGATTGTGTCTTTATCGCAGAGGGGGGGGGGAGAGGATGTGACGTCATGAAAGACTTGAGGCATCCGAGTGTGACGTCATAACCGTAGGATGTTTGTGCAACTGGAAAGGTCAAGTTGATTTGTGACGTCACTTCTGTTGGAATGTAACCTTTTTATGTGTGTGTGGGTATATATATATATATATATATATATATATATATATATATATATATATATATATATATATGTGTGTGTGTGTATGTATGTATGTATGTATATGAAAGATGAAAACACTCTACCGTGTTGATACTATGGTAGAAAATCCCACACTGGTGATATTTTCAATAAATCTAGTTTTTTTACAGTGTGGGTTTCTCTACCATGTATGTATATGTATGTCTATCCATCTATCTATCTATATTTTTTTCATTTGTATGTATATATGTATACGTGTGTGTGTGCGTGTGTGTATGTCTGCGTATCCATTGATTAATCCATTCATTCATTCATTCACTTTTAGCTCCTAATCCACAGACACTTTGCTGTCACCCGGACCTCTCCGTCAACAAACACTAACTCTCTCCCTCTTTCCCTCCCTGCAGCTGTTGGGCGGCGCTCTGCTGGGCACGTCGCTATGGATGCACTTGGACGGAGCGAGCATGGCACCTGTCACCGCGGACCTCGATGGCTATAACTACGTGCTGTACTTCCTGATGGCCGTGGGCGCCGTCATGTTCATCATGGGCTTCCTCGGATGCTGCGGCGCCTTCCAGGAGTCGCAGTGCATGCTGGCCACGGTGGGTTGTGCTTGCTTGGTTCTTTTGATAGATTTACTTAGAGCCTGCTTGGTTACTTTGGGTTTAGGGTTAAGCAAGAGTCGTATTATGAGGGTTATTGTTATATGATGGTTTCGACGCGTTTCATTCTTTTTTGAAGAAATCACTTCTTCGAATCCCTCATCCAGAAAAATATATATATGATTTAAAGATCATAATGAAATATAAGAGAACGCTGTCGAATGAATAGTCGCCTCCGATAAGAGACCGTAATCAAATTAATGTTGTTCGGCTTCAGTTCTTCGCCCTGGTCCTGGTCCTGTTCGCCGGTCAGATCGCCGCCGGAGTTTGGCTCAAGACGAACGAGGAGCGATTCACGGACCTGGCGAAGAGTTCCCTGACCAAGTCCATTCAGCACGACTACGGCGACAATAAGCTCAAGACACAGGCCTTCGATGTCATCCAGTCCGAGGTGAGTTGTTTGCTGCTGTTTTTTTTTTTTTGGGGGGGGGTGTCTATTGGTCATCAAGTGACAGGGATGTGTTTGTGTGTGGGTTGATATTTTCTGTAATTGAGCGAAACATTTTATATAGTCGTGTTGAATTATAGATGTTTTGTGATTTCTCCCCTTATTCCTTGATTTAAGATTAGCAACACATCGACATAACCATATTTTTTTTTATAGAAAGAGTCATCCTTAGCTCGCACTTCCCATGAATGAGATCCATGCTAACCTCGGTCCCCTTTCCACAGCTGAAGTGTTGCGGATCTGAGGGCCCCACAGACTGGGCCGAGAGTCGCTTCAATAACGCTGGCGAGCGTGGAATACTGGACATCGGCATCAGAGGGGCCATCGGTGCCTACAAGGTGCCTGAATCCTGCTGTATCGAGAAGGACGCGGCACTGTGCGACGCTACCCGCAACCTGTCCATCGGGGCACAGATCACGGGCTCGATCTACACTGAGGTAAAGGGCGGTGGTGCTTTGTGTGAGGCCTTGTCTGGTACCATGGTAGGGTGTTTTTTTTTAATGAGCGTTTTATTTTTTGCTGTTGAGAGCAAGAGTGTGCACATGAACACATACCACGTCGGTACACACACTCTCACATACTCTTAATACACCAGAATCTAAATGTGTCGTTTGTGTTGCAGGGTTGTGCCAAGAAGATGATCCAGCTGATCCACAGCCACAGCTACGAGGTCCTGGGCGTGGTGGCTGCCATCGTCCTGATCGAAATCCTGGCCATGATCTTCTCGATGGTCCTGTGCTGTGCTGTGCGTCGCATTGACCACGTAAAGGCCTAGGAGGAAAATAGCTCCCCGATATACGACCTGGGGATGGAGAGTGAAGACGATGACCCCACTGTTTGAAGAGGAAATAAAAATATTAAAAAAAAAACACAAAAAAAGGAGGAAAAAGTAGTGCATTTATAGATCAGTTTTATATTGATCAAGTTCGAGAGAACTGTGAATGACTGGCTGGATCTTCTGGCCAGAGCACCTCTCCATCCGGTCAGGAAACATCACGAAATATCCATCTAATTCAGAAGTGATCGTAGACTTAAAATGTTAATTATTTTCTTTTTTTTTTCTTTTTTTTTTAAGAAATTCTTTTATCGGGAGTTTGAGCATTGAATAGTTTAGAAATTGTTTGCCGTTAGTTATGGAGAAGATTTTTTGTTTTATAAAAAGGAATGATGGTTAAAAATAATTTACAAGGATAAAACTAATGGAAATGGTAAAATTACTATCAAGTTATACAAGCCACATTGCCCCTCCCCCCCACAAAATTGTATAAAAGGCTAAAGATTTTCAATAGGTTATATAATGGAATGATTGTCTACACCTATTAAGATCATGGAGTAGATTTTCTTGAATTTTTGGTGTAAACATTTCTTCATCAGCTTAGTAAATATTGTCTTGCAGTGTTGATCACAGATTATTAAAAAAGAAAATAGAAATACAATAGTTAGTAGCTGAATACTAAAACATATTTTTGTATTTACTGAATTAATTTACAATGAAAAAAAAAGTTGTATCTTATTAAGAAGCAGATGAACATTTTTTATGAAATAGTTACTACTTTGATATCAATTTATATGTAACAAGCAGGCTCGGTTGCATTATTTTTATGATCTCTTTCAATACTCTAGTTGTTTTCGAAGCGACAGTAACTGCGCCATTACACATCACAGGCTGTCCTCAACTGCATGAAGTTCCCTACTCAGTAAATTGGTTGGGACCAGCTAATTTGGCTAAGATTTTGTGCATCAGGGATAGTTCATATTTTTTTGTTTTCTCTTTTTTTTTTTTAATTTGTATAGATAACGTTTCTTTTTCACCTTTCAAGATTGTTTGGATTCAATAGTAACAGTTTTTTAAATGTTTTTTAATATTTTTATACCAAGGTTTGTGGAGCAGTTGGCATAGCACGACTCATGTTGAAGGACTAGTAATGTTTGATCCAGGTTTTGCTGAAAGTTAACAGTGACTCAAAATCAAATCAAGTGATGAAAGTTCATTTGGAATGGAATTTTTTGTATCAGCTGGTATACACACACACATACTTTCCTTACCGGCACAATCTTTTATTCTTATTTTTATATCTCCCAAACTGGTCACATTAGAACCAAAGCTTTTCATATGTTAGATTAACTGCACTGGTCTTCACCACAACTATACCTCCAAAGACTCTTAAGTATAGAGCTTAAGAGCGAGCAAAAGTGTTGTCGTGACAGCTTGGGCCATCAGCTATTGCTGGTGTTGGCACCCAGCTCCTGTACATACTGAATATTGAAAAAACAATTATAAAAAGTATAATCCTTTATACTAAGAAACTGTATCTCACATGCATGCCCTTGTGGATTTCTGAGTGGTAAAAGAAGGGTTTGGCTTCATGTTATGTATGTGCAGTGTTCATGTACACATTCAGTATTAATATATGGGAACTGTATGGTCATTCACTCTGTATGCAAAAGTATTTTATGTATAGTTTAGCTCCATAAACTGTATGTAAGTGCTACTGTGCTCTTTACCGTGGCTAACCATATAGGTTATTACAAACTGTACGTGTGTTCATGCACAGTCTGTGAAGCACATTACATGGGAATGTGTACAGGGCTTTCTGTTACTAGTGAAGTATGGATTTGCATTTTCCAATATTCTCTCTCTTTTTTTAGGGTTCATGAAGAGTGAATTTCCATATTTCAGGTTTTCATTTGTGGTTCATAGAAAATTTTTACAATCTTTTGAGTGATTGAGGCTGATAATGACAAATGTATGCACATACGCTTACAATTAGTATGTGGGTAATACAGCCTATGGCCTATTCATTACAAAAGACTAATGTAATTATACCTATTAATGCCTTAACTCCACCTAAATTCATTTAGATTGAATATATACACTTTTGCAAGGAAATAGTGAGAAGAGAATTGGAAACACATTTGTTTTGCATATATTGGAAAAAAGCGTTTCTGTTATACAAATTCTATTTCCGGTTTCAGATACCACAAATGGCATGTGAGGACTGGTAATAAATGTTAATTTGAATGTGTTTCCCTTCAATATGGATGTGTGTTCATGAAATGTTGTTAGGTTAATGTGTTTTTTTGTTTGTTTTTTTATATATAAATTCAAGGATCAGAAAGTATGCATTATTTTAGTTTTTTTCTAAGATTTTTAGTGCCAATGTTGTTGACCTCAAAAGCACGTGTTTGTTTGATTTATTTATAGATGGAAGACATTTTTCATTATCATAATTGTGTAACTGATATTTCTGTTATAATGTAAGTTGGTAGTTTAATATTCCTGTATTTTCTTGATATCCTAAAGTTAGGAAGAGATACCTACTATTAGACTGTGCATCTTGGAAGTTGACATTACAAATTTTAAATCTGTAGAACTTTAAAGGAACTGATTATTTAATCAGATTGTGCTCTAGATTAAACAAAGCAATAATTTAAGTTTCTATTATTCCAAACAGTGCTTTATCTCATTAATGAATACATTTTAATGTGGATACGATGTCTTTTCATCTTGTTTGTTTTGTACAAAATACATTTACTGGTATTTTACTGAGGAGCCTCTTCTTTTTAGCTTTACTATTTGGTTGTCATGGTTTAAAGGTACTAAGCTGTGGATGTCAGTATATTAGGCTTTTCATTTTTCATAAATGACTATAATGCCTTCTTGTATGAAATGCATACATACATTCAGATATCTGTTGTTCCAAGATGCAAATCTCCTTTGTAAATAAACACAGTCTGTGCATCAAACTGCCAAACACGGCATGTAGGAACCAAGGGAAGGGATTCCTTTAACACATAAAATTTACCTGTAGTTACTTGGAGTTGGTGGAAAATTGCCATGCATAAGGAGAAAAGAAGAGAAACCAGTTGCCATGAGTAGGAAAAAGATTCAGGTTAAGAGATTTATTGTAAGAGGAAACATCTTTTAAAAAGGTTAAAATTTACAGGTAGGAATCTGTAACAAATGCACCTCTGGTTTAGAGGAAGGAAAGGTAACAATGCTTTGTGGTTTTCTCCTACCAGCTCATGAACTGGCCTGCAGGACAAGATCGGTGGTATGTCTGGAAATTATCCTCCACAGGCTCTCTATTGGTTGCACAAATGGATGCTCAGATTTCATGGTTGACATAACTTGTAGGGTTATCAGTATTTATTGATATATATCTGCAGAATGATCATATCAACAGTCAACAAATGCTAGTGACAAACAGGTTATATGTATAAGTTTAGGAATCACAGACAGTAGGTTTTAACTTCATCATGGCTCATATATGTTATTTTTACTACAAAAAAAAGAAAAGAAAATAATAAAAGACTACATGTACCAAGATGAAGCTTGATCTATGGTTCTATGTTACTAAATCTTATGAAGGGTTATGAAAACTGCAGAAACCATGAAGCACAGAACTTGGTGCTAGATGCTCGTGCTGATCATGCAGTGCTGACCTTTGCACAGCCCAGTCGGTGGCACAGCCCTCATAACCTAACTTGCCACCTATGACTTGATCCTGTTTGATCATAACACATTTTTGATTGTGCCGAGGCTGGGCTTGCATTCCAAATCTTGGTGTATTTGAAGAGTTGTATGAAATGACTTTTAAGAAAAATCACACACATTTTTTTGTATTGTTTAGGTCAGCACTGCGTCCATTGCTATTCCCACGTCAAGATTTTTGTGATGTCTACTCATCATCTTGTGAAAACTTCCAAACTTGTTTGTAATCATGCTAGAATAAATAAGTAACCTTAAGTGTTTGTTTTATTCCATCAAAGATTTGTAAATATTTGGACTCTTGAGTCAAAATCTTGACTTTTTGAGCAACTTCCATCAGCAAAAGGTAAAAGCTTCAATGTTCCACTCATAAACCACTCACTAGGAAATAAAAGATTCATACACTATTGGTTTTATTAAAAATAATGTCTTCAGACTCTGGAGACACGGAACTATATGCAAAGCATCCATTATTCAAATGATTATACACACTATAAAATTAGAATGCAAATAAGCAACAATATCAATTAGTGACCCATACACTAATTCTGAAGTAAATAAATAGGAACCCACCATAAATTATATCCTCACCCAATTTTCATTCACTAAATAGGATTTAAGCACAGTATATCAACAGACTTGAGTCACAGGACTCGTGCTAAGACACTTGTTACCCTTTAGGTAAAGTGATGACAAGAAGGCAAGGGAATGTGTTAAAACTAAACATTTCTAGATGTTAGGTAATCATGTTCTTGTCCCGCTGCTAATTGGTGTTTATTTTTCTTTAAAGGAAGAAAAAATAATGGTGATATTATCTCAATCTTGGTACAAATTCCTTTTTGGAGATATTTACATGGAAAAAAAATTAATAGGCTTAACATTACAAATTAAGTGATATCATCAGAAAGTTTTAATTACTTTTTGCTCATTTGATACAAGCCTCTCAACCTACACCGGAAATTCTGGTTTCACAAAAACAAATCAATTATATTAATCATACAAAAAATATATATAAAAAAAATAATAACAAAGTGAAAGAAAAAACCCTTACCTCCCTTCCTTCACCTTTTCTCCAGTGCACGAAAGGAGAAAATGAAAAATAAAGTGATAAAAACAAAATAAATAATAATGATAACAATATTCATAAAACTTAATCATAAAGGATTTTGTTCTCATAGAGTACTGTGTTAACTGGTTTTTATTCCAACATATCTGGAGAACCTTCTTTTTTTTTTTTCTTTTTTTTTCTTTTTTTTTGTCATGTGATAAACAATCAATAGATATTTTCCTTAAAAGTGAGAATTATAGCTACCATAGATGTCAGCATGGGTCATGTATTGGCACCCTTCGTCATCACTTCGTCCGTCCGTTTTATCATTCACACAATGCAACTGTACACCACAAATTTACTGCATTTCAGGTTTACAGGTAAAGAGTCAATTTATCATATATTCACATAAAGTTTGACAGAGAAAGAAAAAAATAAAGTATACATATCAGTCACACACTTTATAATTACTGTATTAAAAATACCCCCCACACAGTATTGACAAAATCAACCGATGTTCGTAAAGATACTAGACAGATTACTTTCATAAAAAGCTTTCATTTTTCGAACTTGAAAATCAGAACAAAAAAGGAAAAAAGAAAAATAATAATCACAATTATAACAATACCAATAATAATCTTTACGAAACATGATCATAATGCAAAGAGAAGATGCATACTGCTTTTCCCACCAGTGACACTTGCACCAAAAGGGCTACCATTCAGTAAGTTTTGACATGCCATTTTGTGTGATTGCATCCAAGTTCTTTTGACTGTGTTTGAGTCATTTATTAATGACAATTTTCCTCTAAGGCACAAACATCTATTGTACTCGACTAATATTTAATTTGGGGCCAATAGAATACAATATATGAAACAAAAGAAATACTATTCCCATAAAACTGTACATTGAAAGTCTATGTAAATATCACAATTTTTTTTCTTTCTTTCAGTCTAGGATAAAACTCAAAACTTCTGCTATATCAGTCAAGATTTTTCTCGTTTTTTGCTGCATGTCTACTACACAACAGCATTTAAGTCTGAAACTCTTGGCACTTGGATCCATTATACATACCTAAAGATATTCTAAGTCGTGTCAAGAAAAAAATGAAGGAAACATCTAAATTTAAAAATATCTTTATCCGAAAAAGAAACTCTCTTTAAGGTTAAAGCCATAAAACTGACAAAACAAGCAGATGTACTTGTGTGTCCACTGCATTCACCTTAGGCGAGTGAAGTGACGATAAATCAAACAACGTAAACTTTCTCATACATACAAATCATTGGTAGTAAGTGCAGACTCATTCTGGTTAGCCACTTGTTCTAACAACTTCTTAGAGAAGCATATTGAACCTAATATTTTTTCCTGACTGTAAGGAAGTCAAGGTAAATCATTCAATTTTTAAAAAATATATATATATGTAGAAAGGGAGTGATGGATGTAGCAAAACAATTAAGTCCATTAAAAAATAGAAATGCTTATAATCAAACTACTACCAGTCTTCAAATACAGTAACATATGAACCAAATTCATACAAGTTTGTAGAAAGGAGAACCCTTGTTTGTTTGAATCAGTTTCAAATGCAAATACCACTATTAAAATACTGTAGAATTTCCAAGAAATTTTCCTCAGTCAAGGCAAACATTTTTGGTCACACTTTCACACAAAGGAAACTTAGCACATGTTAATTCTTAACAAGAGAATCATACTAATAGAAGCACACCTACCCAGCATAAGAATTTGTTGAGATTTAAGCAGAAAAAAAAAAAACTAACAAGAAAAGAAGAAAATATCAAGCACTGCATAAGGCTACCGTGATCAGTCCTAAACAATCATTATCCTTCTCATTAGTATACACTAACACCCTGGATATCATTCAAAGGTAATGGATGAAGTTGTAAGCTTTGTTTGCATTACCTTCTCTGGTCTTTGTAAACCAACTTTCACCCTGATGTAACATTAAGAAAAAAAAAAAAAAAAAAAAAAAAAAAAAAATAATATTGCTCTTTTTCAGTCTCCTCTTCCGATGAGCGATTGCATACCAAAGAGGCTTCCATTAAACGCTTAAAGGAGGGTTTCCATTCGTCTTTTAAAGGAGGTGATGACAAAAATGGAGTACAATGTACAAAACATTGTTAATAATATCAATCATTTCAAATAAAATGATAGTCAACAATGACAAAAGGCTATCTATCACACTTAACATATCTCTCTCAAGAAAATGTGTCACTGCAAACCATCTGCAATTCTTAGTTCAGAGTAGGTCAGTATGCATCACTTCACAATAATGAATTTCTGAAGTAGTACCACTTGATATACTTGTACACCAGACGATCTTTCTAATAATAAAAAAAAGGGCAATGTCGTAAACTATCTTGCAAAAAAAAAGGAGGGTTTCCATTCGTCTTTTAAAGGAGGGTTTCCATTTATATTCTGAAGGAGGGTTTCATCAGAAGATTTCCAGGTGTTGTAAAAAAATTTGTCTCTGTAGGAGGGATTAAGGACGAAATTTGTAATGAAATCTCCCAGTTCCTTAATTAATCAGGATACCCACTCAACCCATCCCATCACTATTTAGATATCTAGATGCAAAGTTCTACTCACAACCAACATCAGGAATACTGGGAAGTTCATATACAGTGAATACATATTAAAAAGGCATGTTCACAGTGTGTTTCCAACCACAAAACTCAACCGTTCAGATCCTTTCACCATGGGAGAGAGGAAATGAAAATCCCTATCATAAAATGACAAAAAATGGAGTACAATGTACAAAACATTGTTAATAATATCAATCATTTCAAATAAAATGATAGTCAACAATGACAAAAGGCTATCTATCACACTTAACATATCTCTCTCAAGAAAATGTGTCACTGCAAACCATCTGCAATTCTTAGTTCAGAGTAGGTCAGTATGCATCACTTCACAATAATGAATTTCTGAAGTAGTACCACTTGATATACTTGTACACCAGACGATCTTTCTAATAATAAAAAAAAGGGCAATGTCGTAAACTATCTTGCAAAAAACCTGAGAATCACATTCACCTTAAAAATAAATCATTAAAAAAAAAAAAGATACAATGTGGTAATTTGAGGATTGGTGGAAAAAAGAAAAGAAAAGAAAGAAAAAAAAAAAAAGGAAATATCAATAAGGTATCCCATCTACTCCAATGACAGTGGCCCTCCTCCTGGCACCCGGCACAATGCCTAATCAATCGCGACCTAAACCCACTAATACCTTGACATGTGGCTTGAAAATCAACTCTGAAAAAATGCAGGTACACAAGCTCTCAACTCTTGCTCATGTTTTGGGGGCACTACAACAGCCTTTTCATTAGTTAACTATTGCTGGATCCCCTCCTTTCTTTCCTAAAACCTATTGGTCACTGTTCATAAACAAAAGAGAAAAATTATCAGCAGGTACTATCATTGGTTGTTTGTCTTCCCTAAAGCATATTGGTCATCTTGGTGTTAGTGAGGATGCAAGTTACTGCCTCAACTTCAACTGTTGAGAAAACTGGTGTCTCAGAAACTTTTTTTTTTTCTTCTTTTTTTTAACCTTTTTTTTTTTCCTTTCTTCTATTTTTGTTTTTTTTTAAACGATCTAAGACATTATTAAAAAAATTTCTAACAACTTGCGATTCCCTGATTCGCTATTAGATCCTTGCTATCCAAAAAACCAAGTCGGGATTAGAAATACTTATTGCTTAAAGCTTATATAAGAAGCAAAGGGTTACAAAGCCTAAACCTGTGTAATAAAAAGACATGAGGAAGTGAAAAAATTTGCATTATTACTCCTCTCATCTAACTTGGGGGGTCGGGGGGGCTAGATCAGCATGATGCAGATTCAAAGGAAGGCCTCACTATTGTCGGCAGCTAAGGGGTCCAAACGTAAGGACCAGGAAGAGTTGGAATGTGCGGCCAATAGACCACTGGGGTATCACACTGTTGCCACTTGAATTTCTTCTCTAAACTCTAAATGTTTTCTAGGACTGGCTTGCCACCAGTAGGATTGCCCTTACAGGGTTTCGACAACTAAGTCACATTCAAAGATACAGACTTTCTTGTACATACTCTTGAAACGTAACTGAATATCAAAGTACCAGATACACAGGTGGTGAGTCGTCCTTGTCTATTTGATCAGGGTAAACTAGGTCATGGATAAGTACCACTCCTCTAAACGAGGTAATTATAACCACATCAGACGCTCACCACTGCAACACCTTTTAATATGGCTCTTGGCCAAAGCACCAATTTGAAAACAAGAAAAAATAAAATTCTTCCACCACAGTGCATTTGAGACCAACTATGAGTAATCCTCATACGAGAAAAATTATCGTATGAATATAAATGTAGTAACAAAGTCCATTTAACATTTATCATACATATTTATATACTGTACTTAGGAAAATATCTAAATTTAGAAGAATCTTTTCACAACATATTTGAATAAAAAAAGAAAAAGAATAATAGAAAAGAAAAAAAAAAAAAAAAATCATATTCTTGAGCTAGAGTTGATGACAGCCTAAGCAAATCCTGTGGCAGATCCCAGCGACTCCTCAGGACTGGCAAGGGGGGTCTCAGAAGCATCCGTCCCTCCAGTCATCCTGTGCCGCTGCTTGAAATCTTGGTTGGACCAATCCTGATCTGTGGGGAGATGATGAAAAACAACTCAGTTCTTGGTACGGTAAAATGAGAAAAGAAGATGAAGAAGAAGAAAAAAAAAAAAAAAGTCAAATTTTTTAAATGCATACATATTGCGAGACAACAATTATCACTACCCTGTCACTACACTTTACAAATATCCTTTTGTCCATAAAATACAAAGTTTCTTGTAAATAATAATCTTTACCAAACAACTATGCAAATAACAACCTTCTGATCTATCTCTCAACATTCTTTCTTACAGCGATACCTGCATTCACAAACGAATCCTTTGAGTCACTGAGATCACATTCAAGTTCCCATGTAGGCCATGTCAACCTCTTAACATCTGTCACCATTTAACCCATTCACCCCAGATTTATGTTCTGTCCCCTGTAGTTTTTGGTGAATTTTGTTATAGACAGATGGTTCCACCTGTGCTCAGCTGGCAAGGAGTCTATCAATAGGTCCTAGTTACCGATCCTAATTTTCCCATTCCTTGAATTGGCGGGAAAATGTCTTTCTTATTAAAACCATTGCTATCGATGTTATGATGTTAAGATTGTTAAATTGTCATTAAAATATTTTTGACAATAAAATGATACAAAAGACCCTTTCCTAAAGTGAAGGAAAAGGGTAAACAGGTGAGATAGGTAGTTCTGATAAACTGGCTATTTGGTGATTAAGAACTTATAGAGCCATCTATGTGTAAATACAAGAAATAAATGTGTATTACAGTGGGCATGTCATGTATTTTTGCCACATGGGGCGAATGGGTTAAATGTGTTATGGTGATGTTAAAACTTCCATCTGGCATTGTGGGGATATCCTCTTTCTGGTGAGCAAGAATAGATATGACGGACAGCCTGCACCAGAGGCTTGATATGACACATCCCTCTGTTCCTGAGTAAGTCAACATATCTTGACACTTTAGCTTTTAATATGGGATTTTCCAGATTATCCTTCAGAGGTTGTCATCCTCCTGGTGCAGCCTCTGGTATTCTCGGACATTCATATTGCACATTTTGATCTGAATGGTTACATCACTTGACAAAAGCTCCTCAATGGACAAATACTAAACACAACAATTATACATATTTTACTGAAGGAATTATTACTATTACTAATGCTAATACATGTACCAATATAAGAAAAACTATGAATAATACCAAAATACTAAAGATTACAAAGTTACCATTAACCTACAGGAGATATGAACAAACTCAAGGCTCTCCCAAGTTTATAGAATTTACAACATACACCGACACCCAACAATATAAAAAATACAAGTACAACTGAAATTGACACATACAATTTGGAGTGTTCATTTTGCCATTTCAGATTAAGACATGATAGGTCTGTTATTGCAATGGCTATCTGGCTGTAGAAATATTACCAAAGGATAATTGAATGGACTTCAGGCATAAAACATTAAAGATTGGGTCTTAAAGTTACAAAGGAGATTATACCTGGTTCTACAATACTTGAGAATTTGTTTAAGAAGAATGCTTTGCTTTATTTACAAAGGTAGGGAACTTTCTCTGAAGGATTTAAGCACGTACAGTAAACAAGAATGGAAGATGCAACTATAAATTATTCTACTTTTTAAATATTTGGTTAAAACAGTAATAATAATAAATCACTAGTTTCCTTTACGAGGACACCATGACAAAATTAAAGGAAGAGTAGAAATTTTCATGTCATAGAGGAAAAACAAACATGTATATATATATATATTTTCTAATGCAGGCATATTCAACAAGATGTTAAAAAAGAACTCTTCATTATTCTTTAAAGTAAAGTATACCTTAATTTCACCAGTAAAAATAACAACCCAGCTATTTCCCTATATCCTCTCTATAGATTCTAACAGGCTACTATCATCAACAAGAGGACACATCTAAAAACCAAGATCCTAAAAACTAATGTGCTACCTTATTGGCGTAATCATTTACCTTCCGACAAAGAACGAGATACACAATTTGTTCTGGTACAAAAAATTTAGAAGCAGTCCAATACTCCATGACATTTTGCTGCATAAACTTTGATGAATATGAAGCATTACTTATAAAAATGAGGAATCATACATGAAATACAGACATAATCCTGATTCCACAAAAAGGCACCAAAAATTTATATCAGGTTTAGGTGTAAACAAGGACAATTTATAGTCAAAAGCAACCAATAACCAATCTTCCATCATACACAATAACAATGCATCTCATTTTTTGAAGGAAAATGAAAGAAATCTATAGAGTCTAGATGCTATTTGTATAATTCAGATATCTATATGTATGAATGGACATACAGGTCAACTTTCACTATTCTGCCCCCTTGGAAACTGGGGTAAGCAGTACTTGCAAAATTCTACAGACTGTATGAGTTGTTCTACACTTCCCTGTTGGCAGAGTACTTCATATGGCATCCTGAATAATCAACATAAAATACTCATTCTGAAAAATACGTACATTGTCCCTCACACAGACAAACAAAAATACATTTATTATTTAATTAATTATTTAACTTTATTTTTGATAAAATGCATCAAACATTTTAAAAATAAGCCAAGTATTTCCAATTCTGAAGTGAAGACGTTAATACAATCAAAAAATATATCTGTAAATATAGGGTCTGGCCAATTTAAAATGAATAACCAATTAGCAAGGAACCATATCACTGGCACACAGATTACTGAAAGTCAACACCTATATGTAAATCATACACATAATGGCAATGATATCCAGATACACTAGTGCACTACAAAGAACCTCAAGACTGTGCAGTGGAACTTGAATATCTCAAATTCACTGGAAGTTAAAAAAAAATACCAGACCATGCAGAAGTTACCAGTGAAGAACATCTACACCAAAGATCATCCACAGACAGAGAAAATCTTTATCAAAATGGAGATACGAAGGTACACATCTGTGACTTGTAAAATTCAGTGGGGGAAACCTCCATAGAAGTCACGCAGTTATCATGAGGATGTGGACACCAAAAAAAAAAAAAAAAAGACGAAAAAAAGAAAAATAAAGAAGAGAATGTAAACACCTAGCTATGAGACCTAGCAGTTATAAGCTTGACTGAAGAGCACTTACCTGTCTCTTCACTGGTCATTCATGAATATAATTTGTGAAATTGACACACAGAAAACTTAGCAGGTGTATCCTAGATATATGGCTTATGCTGGCTTTGACAACAACTAATAAATCAAGTCTATCCTTTTTTTTATCAAATAATACTAATTCCTATGTGATCATCTTTGCCTAAATATGCAATCCTACAATGTTGTCTGTTCACTTGCATTGCAACTACAACACAAATATGGGAGCTTTATCATTTGCAAAGAAGCACATTTTTTAAAGTATTTCAAACCATGGGCAATTTTAGAAAGCTTTGCAATTATATCACATTCTTGTTACACATATTATTTAAATCACTGACTAAGAAACTGAATGCAAACTTAAAAAAAGTAATAATAATAATAATGATAAGTAATAAAATCTGTTATTATTATCAATTTAAATTCCAATTATTAATGCCTCTAGACTCTACACAAAATTATAAAAAAAAAAGCATAGTGTTCACAGGGTGCAAATCATTTTCATAAGAATAACGGTTTCCATCTTAAACAAGTAGATACCTCAGTTGGGTCATAAAAATATGGTATAGTTCCCCCCAATGACTTTGAAAATAACTAGGCACTTTCCCTTAGGCACTTTGCAAACACAACAATATTCTACAAGACAGGTGAACCATGCTATTCGTAAACCATAAATTTGTAACTGCAATAAAAGCCCCGTGATTTGAGGAAGCGGAGACACATTAAGCCCCATTAGAAAAAGGAGACTAATCCCTTATGCCAAACATGTGTGGCACTGGAGAACTGTGTGCCATCAGAACATGTTAGTTATTACTATAAGAAAATTTCAAGACCAATTTTTCCTAAGAAAGGTTAATATAAACAATTTTCTTTTGGTTACCAATATCAATAACAGTGATAGACGTAACAAATAAAGAAAACTTTTCCGTATGAAGGCTCTTTACATAAGTAATTACGTATAAAATATAACCCAAACAGCATGGTTTACTCGTCTGTAGTCTGCTTTGTGGAATTTGCATTTATCTACTTATTTGAAATCATCTTTTTTTGTTTGTTTGTTTAACTGGGTTGACTAATCTAATTCCATAGCACTTTAGTGAGGACAAAACCAGCATTAAAGAAGGATATTAAAATCAAGCATTTTTTTCTTTTTCTTTTATAATTTCCCTTTATTCTAATTTTTTTTTTTTGGACACACTATCCCTAGAGCATGAAAAATCCATTGCAAAATATCTTTCTAAAGAAGCCAACCAACATATAACAAAAACAACACAAAAACTCCATGGAATAATAGCAACAAAATCCATAACAAAACACAGAATAAAAAAAAAAGTTCAAAATTTAGGCCAAACCAACGGCAAAATGACGAACGTGCAGCCTCCTCACCTGGCTTTAGGGGGCTGGAGCCGAGAGCCAGGGCGGGGGATACCGGTGGCTTTGGGCCGCGGGATTTCTGTGGGTTGTGGAAGTCCGGATGCTCCGCCCATTGGTATACGTACAGGCGATGGGGCACTTAATCTGCTACGCACCTGCAGAGAGGAGAGGAAAGGGAAGACTAAGAAGAATTGAAGGATGGGTAAAATTTGAGGAGTTCTGAAGGTACACTTTTTGATCCATTTTCTTTACCTTAGAATGCAATGGTAATGGTAAGTGTCTAATTTGCGTAGATGTGCATAGTTTTCCTCTCGGTTTGTGTCTTTCCTAGAACTTTCTAAAAGACAATATAATAATTTTGATATAGGTATAAAATCAACACTAATTAGATCCACACACATTTAATGATTTAATCAAAGAATGCAATCAAACATGGTTCTATAACCTCCCCCCTTTAATTCATCAGTAGTATGATGAATCTTTTAATCATACTACTGATAATGTTAAGTTAAGTTGAAGTATGGGTAAGCTAATTTTCTGTTTGACAAGTATGGCCAAAGATTACAGCAACACAGTAGGACCAACTGATTAGAAATAACAGCAGAGATGACATTGAGGAACCAAAGAATTTGAACAACACTTCTAAAAGAAAGACGAAAATAAAGAGAAGATCCACTCTGCAACCCCCACTAACTCCAAACAATACTTCCCAACCCCTCAGCTCTGCTTCTACAAATTAAGACTATACAGATAGTCCCCTACTTAAGAACATTCAACTTATGAACATTCCATACATACAAAATTTTTTAAGTACGAAAGTAAAAAAAATTGTTTAAAAGATGCTAGCAAACTTCAAATTTCCCGGGAACGAATATAGTTCAAGGGTCTGGTACTGTATAAGGTATGTCATACTTATTGGGATTTATTTACAGGTATTCTTAATGTAAACAAAACTTTAAAACAATTGGAAAAAAGGTAATGGAGATCCGACTTTCGACATACAAACAAATCAACTTACAAACAGCCTCTCGGTCCCCATTATGTTCGTAAGTTGGGGACTTACTGTATGAAGATGTAAAGGGAAGGGAATAACACATATCTGACAACAGAAAGATCATATCTGTCAAATGCCTCCGTCCATGTTCCATCGAGCTCTAGCATATTGAAAAGTTGAAAAAGAGCTAAAAAGGAATAAGAAAAATTACAAGAAAAAGATAAAACACAAATGAACAATTAAAGTTATGCTAATCAAAGAGACAAGGCCATGCAGAAAACATCCTGTATGTACTAAGCCTTGTAATGATTTACATATGAGCTCTACAAGGTTCACAGGCCCATCTCCAGAGATCAAACAACTGAAGAAGTGTAGGCATTAAAGAAAAGATCTCCACACCTGATGGGTTATTAAGGTACAACCTGGTTCAGCCTCTGAAATAACCCACATCATTATGGTTGTGACATACAGATGAATTTGTGAATCCAGCCACACTCACAGATGTGTGACAAGTTTCATAGGATGTAGAGCAAGGGACACAGAGGAATTGGAAGGACCGAACAGTGAAAGCCAGGAGAGAGAGACAACTATAGCAACAATACTGACAAGGGCAAGGCATGCTTTATCACTAAGATTCCCCAAGCAACAAGGGAGTGTAGTAAAACCAAGTGTAGTAAAACCATGAGACATTTTGAACCGAGACACATCCAGTCAATCTCATCTTTTGGAGGAAGACCGAGTGGTTGAAATTTGAGAGAATGTCCAATTTTCTTTTCTATGGTCTTCCCTGGTTTTTCAATGCACCTTGCCACTGCCTCAATTTCAACAAAGTCAACTCAGCTGAGATCTCTGATTAGGAAATCCTACCAGCAACTATAAACCTTTGCACCAGACCTTAAGGAAACAGAAAATAAGAGATCTAATTCAGGAATTGTTGACATAAGAGCAAATGTATATGGGGTCCTAAGTGGAAGAAGCTGAAATTCCAGAGAGATGACAGATTATGTCGGAGTCGAGTTAAACAAGCCAATGGTGCCGGGAATGTCAATTTATGCCACTTGCTGAAATAATAAATTATAAAACATTTTGTAATTATGATGTTTACCATAGTATTAGTAAATCTAAACCATGTTCATTCTAGAACATTCTGTAATTCATTTAAACACACACCCACACACACAGATATATAAATACAGAAAAGATAAGATATAAAACCACACACTAGTCATTAGCAGGTCTATCTAAACATTCTCTGTGTATTGCAGGCTTAATCACAAAGAGTTTGTATATCATAAAAGGTTAAAAGCACCAACACACATGCAAAATAATGTCATGAAAACAGAAGACCATTCTATTGACTTTACTATGATATAATGTAACATATGCAGGCTGCGAAAAATCTTTTTTTTTTTTACTTTTCCAGTACACCTGACTTTCCACTCGTCCTCTTCTGAATACCACTTGTCCGAAATATTTATATATATATTTATATATATATATTATAAAGAAATTTATTAGGACATAGATCTATAGTTTGCAGTTTTGTTGATGACATTTTACTTTCTGTTTCAGTTTCAGTACATGTACTGTCATCATTTGCTGTTTTACTTTCAATTTCATTATCATTTGTATTGTCTGTCTTTGTTTTTTTAATACTGGGTCCAAAAAAAAACAAAAGGTTACTTTGTGTTGAACCACGTTTTTTTCAGGTGGCATGTTTACATTTACGCGCTTCAGTAACTCACTGAAAAACGTCTGCTAGAAATCTCACACAAACCGGCGAGATCTCACAGAGACAAGATTTCAGACGAGAGGTAAACAAATATGGCAGCCTCCATAATCATAGAACTGAAAGAAACTAGACCTTGCTAGATTTCATTAATTTTAGGGAAAAATCTACTGGAAATTTTTACTCGTCCATGCGGACAAGCGAGGTAAACATTTTACTTGTCCTCCACAAGTTTACACTCGTCAATCCATTGCCAGTTATTATCCTCATATCTAATTCCCTAAGCAGAAGTAATAAAGTGAACAGTGAGACATGAAGGTGGGAAAAAACAAAAATAATTTAGAGCTGCCACACTCACATGGGGTCAACTTTATGAATAACCAACAATGATATGAAGCAAATCTAAAAAGAACTACATAAAGTCGAATCCCTCGGCTCGTAGCACTTTGGCGCATCGCCACACTCCACAGATCGAGCGGTTTATGATGCCTCAGCGTGTGGCCCATCAAGTATGGGGTTAACCCAATACCGAAACCCAATGTCAGAAATCTCTGAGTGTCAACAGGTTAAAACTTGGAAAACAAGAAATGAATTTTCTCCCTACTACATCACTAAAAATAAGTTTCCACTATTAATACACCACCCTTATCTTTTTTTTTTCTGGAACACTTAGTGAGGGATGACGTACAGGTCTCAGAGGAGGTTTTCTTGTGTTTTTCTACTATTATGTGAGGATCATCGTCAAAAAAAAAAAAAAAAAATTGTAGGTTCTGAGCCAGATCTGGGCAAAGACAGGGTGCAGAACCTTAACAGCAACCTTCTAGCTAAGCACAAGTCAAGCCTGGTGCCTTCTTTACTACCAAAGTTGAAATCCAGTCTGACTAATGCCTGAGATAGAAGAAAATCTGCAACAAGACACTTTCCATCAAATTGTGTTCCAAAATGCAATCCAAATCTAGATAAACCTTTAGATATGCATTCATAGTGGAAACAAAGTTGTAAGTAAGGCTATGGAATTGGTTTGTTTAACTATTAACCTCACTTATTCCCTTCAAATCCTATCTGTACCATTTTAGAGTAGCAGTACAAGTCATGAAAAAAAAATTCTAAGATTACATATAATTACTGAAATCAGAGGAGAGAGACCAGCAAATGAAAAGTGAATAAGTTCTTTTTTCTTTTATCAATATTTCCAAATCCTATAATAACATATAATCTAAATGATGTTTATACAGTTACATCTTCAGCCTCTAATCCAGCTAATCTGTGTCCTTGTGTTATATCCACAAGGATTTAACCCCTTGGTGCCGGGTGACGCCGATCAGCGTGTAAACAAAGCGCTCGAAAGCTGGCGTGCAGGCAAACGAGCCGGCGGCGCGCCAAAGTGCGGCGAGCCAGTGATTCGGGCTGATGTCCCCTACTCACTCGCTCAAAGTCGGCGCGCCGCCTTTGTTTGTTTAAGCGTAGAGTTTTTTTTTTTGTTTTGTACACCAGGCGCCATTGGGTTAATGTATGTCTTGTAACCAAATTCATAACTATCCATCCTCAAGTTACTGTCCACCAATCGGGTTAATCTGTGAGCAGGACAAATGCCTAATTTCCTTAGTTGGGCCTTCATCCCTCATGAATGGGTTTCATAATATTACATAAACAAGCAATTTTCCCACAGGAGATAGACTGTCTCCACCATCCTCACTCAACCAAACCCAATTTATGTAAAAACAAAATTATAAACATTTATATTTTTGCTATTTCTCCATCATTATGAACAATTCTTCTAAGGCAAAACAAATCTTCCTAACCTTTGGATTTCTCAGATATATGCCTGTTAATGGCTATTGTGAATTTAAAGGAAAATTCATATATCAGAAAGTTAATCATCAATATTTGCAAAGCAAAACATCTGCACTCTCAATGTTTATTTTTAGGTGTAATACCATGAAATGTACTAAACATAACTGTCACACATAACCAGTCCAAACCATCACAATGCAAGCCCCAATTCTCCATATTACATCTATCCATCCATCAAAACAATCATACTAATTTTCAATATATGATTTCAAATGTACTTTCTATGCCTCAAATGCCCTCTAGTAAGCTCAACCCTTTTTTAGTCCAGGATTATTAACCCAATGCCTCCAGGTGATATTCAACTACATAAGCCGTCCATCCCATTTGGTACTCGTAGTGACCTCGGCCCAGCCGCCGCAAGCTCGTGTCATCACCCTGGCATGTTCCTTGTCTTTCCTTTGTAACACTAAGAAACTATTTTGTATTTTTTGAGATCATTACTTTCTAAAGCCTGATAAATCAAGAATGAAGGATATTTTTGTTGTTGTACAGACTCTTTAAATGATCATTATTCACTCTTTACTCTGAATAAAGTAAGCAGTATGTGGTATCATGGGGTTATAAGCATAGGTTTTTATTGAATTTTGTTTTGCATTTTTTCACATTATCTTATTAAATGAACTTTAGTTTTTACACAAGGTTTATATCATAATTTCATAAGCCTGATCCACAGACATAAGCCTGATTCCTGATTCCCTCATTCAACTACTAAAGCCTTGTTCTCTCTTGTTCTCTCTTGTTCTCTCTCTCTCTCTCTCTCTCTCTCTCTCTCTCTCTCTCTCTCTCTCTCTCTCTCTCTCTCTCTCTCTCTCTCTCTCTCTCTCTCTCTCTCTGTCTTCACAGGATGTGACCCTTTTGCAATCTATGCGACAATATCCACCTCCCTTACTCTCTCCTCCCGCCACTCCTTCAACTACCCCCTCTCTCACTCCATACATACACACACTTACACAGACACACACTCAATCCCATGTTTTGCCAGTTGCAGGCCCAGAATGACATAATTTTAAGGGCGCTAACCTTGGAAGCCTGAGAAGCCCTTATGAAATATGAATATAGGAAAAATTAGAGTGCTAAAATCTACTTCATCACATTTTCAGTGGCAAAAACAAAAAAATCATGGCATGACCATACATGCCCATGGCATATAGGATTGGTGCACCATGGCATGTATGCACATACCGCCTGCAGTGGAGTCCAGGCATGCCATACGTACATGCCACTTGGTGGCAAGGGGTTAATGTGTATCACAAAACTAAACATGAAAACCCTCTCACAGTCCATCATATCTAAAAATAAGTTTATACAAAAACCACAAGACAAAAGCTTAACCCAATCACTGTGAGCAGAACTTCAGTTCTGCTGTTGCAGTAAGTGGGGTAAATCAGAGTGAACAAAAGTGGTTAGGGAGAGCCATGGCAGTGAAAGTGAGTGAAAATTAGTGACCGGTGTTAGGTTAAAGAGAGCAAAGTATGAAAAGGGGTCACACATTAAAAGAGGAATTAAGAAAAGGACAAGAAAAAACGTCAGTGCCAGGAGAAGCCATTATTCATTCGCAATGCCTTTACCTTCCGCCTTGGCGAAAACTTAGGCTGCCAAGGCGTAATGAAGGAGATGGAGAGGGAGATCACCAAGTAGCAGTCATTTGAAGTGACCGAAGAGGAAGTACCAAGAGCACAATTATTAATGACTTAGAAAATGTAACTCAGTAGTGGAGGGAGGGAGGAGTACCTAGTATTCCTGAAGTCTATAAGTGTATTTAATCACAAAATAAAATTAAATGGAGAAAGAAAATGAGAAAGCTGGCATAACTAACAGCTTTGAGGTATGTGGGGCAACTAGAAAATAAAAGCAAAGAAATTTAAGAAACAAAGTTTATAATATCAAGCTATTCTATCTTTACAACTGACAAGGACATGAGTATCATTTTGAGGTTATATTTACTCTGAAGAAAAATATTATATATAATAATATATCAGGCTTTTCCTTTCAAACTAATAATAAAAAGATATTCACTTGCAAATATGAACAATCCTTTTAAGTTCACATCTATTAAAAATGATATTAAGAATCTCTTCATACTGAGAGGAAACCAAAAGCCAAAAAAATGTATGCATTCTGACTTCTTTACATCCTGAAAAAAATAATAATAAATAAAAAAATACATAAATAAATAAAATAAATAAAATCTGAGACTGCAACACACCTGAGGAGCCTGTAGCCTTGAGCCCTTTGGTCCTTGGCGGATATCAGACTGCGAGGCAGAGGGAGAATCGTGGGATCTGGCAGGTGACGCACCACGGCTACTGGTGGGCGTGGTGTGCTCTAATAATCGGGGATCACTACCATAGCCTCGGTTCAGGCCACTAGGGAGACGAGAACCACTCCTACCTGTCACCGGAAGAGAAATGGTGGTCATCCAAGACGAAGCTTTTTCCAACCTTGTCTCCGGCTACAGCACCGTTTATATCTCTTGCCGAATGTCTTGTATTGGTAGGACAGTCTTAAAATGTACACTAAAGCTACAGAGAACTTATGATTTATAAGTTTTATACTGTATTTTACAAGAATACTAAGAGAGAAGAGATGCTTTCTGCAAAATCTAAGAGAGAAGAAACCACATAAATAATCCCATTTGCAAGAGAGGTGCAAGACTACAAAGAAATCATAGAAGATAGTTGTTATAAGGATATAATCAAGTACAAAATCCCACACAGATATAATTTACAATACATGAACATCTAAATCTATCAAGCTTCTTTCACCAAACGTCAAAACAATGTATAAAATGTGCATCAACATTTCAAAAATTTCCCTTGGTATCTTCTGAAAAGAGATAAAAAGAGGTTCCAAGGAATATCTTTACTTTAAAGAACTATCACTACACTGAACTCTTAACTCTGACTCTGAAAAGTCTCTTCTGTGAAATACTTCAAATACAGAGAATACAAATGACAACAAGACAACTATCGTGACAGTCTCTACAGCTCACCATTACAAACTTCTAAATTGTGCTGCGAATTATAGGGGCTATCTGGAGGTGTGGAGAGGTCAGACCCTTCCCTGGAAGGAGTCGCGTGAGAGGCATAGCGTCGCGGAGGCTGTAGACCTCGCATGGGTCGGCGGGGGCTGCTCGCGGGATGGGGACCCGATAACAGATCCTCCTGAGAGCTGGTTGCCGATCCCCCGGAACCACCCGAGGCATAGGGGATTCCAGTACTTCCTGCACGTATACCTGACGAGGGAGGCCTAAGTGTAACTACGGGACCTTGGGGTGCTTCAAGCTCAAAGAGAATGTACAGCAGTCACGTCTTAAGGATCAAGTGGTCAGGTGATCAGAGCACAGCAGGCAATGAATCCTGGATGATATGGTAGCATGTCCTGACTTCTATTTCCTTTGATCTTTCATTAAAATATATGAAGGCAATGTCTCACTTCAATTCTTAGTACCATAAATCTAAAGGTACACAGTGACAAAAGGCCAATAATGAATAACCCTCCAGCACATAAAGCAAAAACAAAAACAAAAAAATAAATATAACAACAATTTTTGTAGCCTATTGGCAACAAACATCAGCCAATACATTTAACAGAAACTCCATTCTCCTTTGGATTAGACTAAATATCCATACAGTCTGCATGTGTCTGCACATGTATCTCCTTTATGCAAATAAAATACCAGCATGTATTCGTGTCTTTGAATCTACAGAAAGCTACTAGCATAAACACAAGCTACAAAATATGTTAACCCACTTGTACCAGTACAAGTGCCAATTGCACATGTTGTCATGCCTAGTAAAGCCTTTCTATCAAGCAAAGCACTTACGATAAATTTTTCAAGAAAAACATATTCAGTTTTTCAAATAGACAGAAACACTAATTGCAGCAAGAACGGCTATAATCCTTCTTAATAATTTTTTTCCTCAAGGTTACAATGAGCATTTACCAGAAGAGAAATGGAGTACCACGATTAAGCAAGGAGAGCCAGCTAATGAAAATAAGGGTGATGCAAATGAAGTACAAACTGAGAAGCAAAATAGGCAATAGAATTAGTTGGCCAATGTAGCTTGCACTGCATAATGCATATCAATCCTACTAGACAATCCTTTTTGCGAGGACTAGATATATATCTCCATATACATCCTCAATTGATTCATAGGGAACATTCTCCCAAATCTACCAGTCTTTATAACCCGCTTAGATAAATTTCCAGCAAATGTACTGCCAATTTCTAATAAAAAGTTACGATGGATAATCTATGTACTTCCTCAGAGACAAAGTTGCAACTTACTACAAATAAAAGCTGCCAAAGTCAAAGCATTATGCAATTTTTGCAAGCTAAGAAAGTGTCCTTGTTAATTATGAGCCAAGGCATGTGTTCTGGATATACGTAATAAACACGAATACAAAAATAGAAAAATATAGCTTCACTTGATGTAAAGCAATACATGGTAGATTCTTAGATGTCAAAATCATGTCCTTTTCTTCAAGGGCACTTAGAAAAAAATATTCTTCCTCTAACACCTAGGAAAGAAAGGGTTATACAAATATTTCTTCATAGAAAGTAGCAAAAAGAAGACATTCTTGTGATTCAGATATTTAAAGTTGTCAACTATGGAGCCAAGTACTTGTAATAATGAATATTATGAACTTGAACTAAGTGGACATCATGACTGGCCTGACACTTTCCTATATCTGATATTTGATTTTTTTTTTAAGCAATATTTGATTTTTTTTTTAAGCAAAGATACATATATTAAGGTTCTTATCAAGTAAATCTCCTAATTTGCCAAAGGCATAAATATTTGGGCAACACTGTTAAATATGAATACACATGTACAGTTTCCTTTCATTAAAAATACAACAAAAAAATTAAACACACCCTAACATATCCTGAATGTCAGTGTACAAATCATCTTTATCATCAGAAAGATAAAATGAAGAGTGAGAGAGTGAGAAAAAAACAACAACTTAACAATGTTCGCACCATTAAAACACAGCATACTTAGTCCAAAAAGCGTTCAAGCATTCTACGGATTTCAGCAACAACAACTAACCCTCAAAACAATCTCTTGGAGTTTTTACATGCCCTGTGCCTTGACACTGCCTCAAAAGCTGATGTGTAAGAGTGGTAAATGGTGAATTTAAAGCCTGGTAAAGTGAAAGCTAAGCACACATATGCATAACATAAGTCTGTCGTATCTCTCCAGGAGATGGCAAAAACCTTTAAATACCCCTCAATCATGGCATGTGGAAAGTGTACCAATGCAAAAAGTACTCACCCCCCATTAAACAAACAAACAAACAAAACAAAAAAAAAAAAAAAAAAAAAAAAAAAAAAAAGTAAATAAAACAAAATAAATAAATAGAAACAATAATGAATGGGATAAAAATGAAAGAATAAATTAGTCAACTGCTTTCCAAAGTTTTAAAAATACAGTAAAACCATTTATTCAACATATCACTTTCATTGAAACAAAAAGGGTAATAGAATTTAGCCCTTGGAATAAACAGAGAATAATAAAGTAAAGTAAAGAAGAAAAAAAAAGGAAAAGAAAAGAAAAGAAAAGAAAAAAAAAAAAAATGAAGGCATTATCAATAACCATACCAATTTACTACTACCTAAATCACATTACCAATCCTTAAAAGAAAATCACAATGAGCATTCTGCGCTTACATAAATCCTCCTTAAAAATGGCACACCGACGGAAGGTTGCAAGCAGTCAGTTTAAGTCGTAATTTGGCGCAAGGTTTTAGATTCATCATCTCAAGGGACGTACTCATTCCTCATTGCTGGTCATGGGGTTTTTATGGTTCTCGGTCTACAACTAACACTTTGAAAATGTATAGAAAAAAACAATATTTAAAAAAAAAAATAGAGAGAAAAAAAAATGTAAAAAGAAAAAGAGAGAGGAAAAAATAAAAGGGGCTCCATATCAAAGAAGCCTTCCCATGCACTAGATTCTCAGCCTCAAAACATCTTAAAAGGGGAACAGGGAAAAAAAATATCATACTTACTCGCTCCAAAGGTTTCCTTTGATGTTAATAAAATCCATGTCACTAAGCAGAAAGTTGTGTTACTTAACAATTCTTGCTAACAGTAGGAATCATATATTTTATCTAAAGATTCTCTATACTTTATATCTATAAAAAAACTCTGAAAAATCCTTTCATGATTCTCTTTCCAGAAAGGAGGGGAGGAAGAGAGTGGAGGAGAGGTGGAGAAAGAGAGAAAAAAAATCACAATCTACATGATTCTCCCATATCTTAACTGTACCAGCACATCATATAAGGGTTATAGCTGATTCTGCACATACCAAAGATATTCCTGAAGCTGTAGAAAAGATGCTTACTGGCATCAATCTGTTTGTCACACAAAAGTCAGGATACATAATCAAATCACAGTGTGAAGAGAGTTGGATTAAAGTTATTCCTAAAACTGTTAAACATATGCCATTGTGATTTCTTTTGTAAAAGAGGCTTCTACACTCACACATTCACAAAGGTTGCAAAACAGTATTGGGCTCTGTCAAAATTACAAACTGACTGACTGTAATTCATTGAAGCAATTTCAGACCAAGAAGGATATTCAATAGTGTGACACACAAATATGTGACACACATTATCACATAATAATACATGATACATAAGATCATTTTACTGGTATATTTTCCTAGCAAATCAAAATCAAGGCATGCACTTATAAAAAAAAATAATAGTGATATTCTGTGTACTACCTGATTAACAGAATATTTTCCAATAATAAAGTGATTTACACCAAGCATTACAAAATAAAAATTAGCACACTATGAAAACTCATTTACATGTATTTGAACCTTTTGTATCTATACTGACTCCAGCTTTACACAAAAAATATATGTGTATTAATGAGAACTGCATTAAATATATAATACTTCAGTGCCTCAAAAACAGTTGTAAAATGTGTAAAACACGTATTTGTGCAGTCCTCGGAAAATGTGCTATGAATCAGCGTGGATGCTTGCTACCTTAAGGCCTTGGAGAGAAAGTGGGGGCAAACTAAAGAAAAAACAATGTTGCAAAAGAGCTACAGTATTCAAGACATTCCATAATCATTCCATAAGTGCAAAGGTTAAGGCTCAGACCATAAAAAGCTAGAGAGAAAAAAGGCATGCACTGGCCTTAGAAAAAACACCCACATTGCATATACACAAAAGATATAAAAAGAAAGGTCTAAAACATACAAAAATCATGATCTTTAACAAAATCTACTAAGCTTAATTCAGCAAGAGTAAAGTTCAAGTCATCAGCAAAAAAATATTTAACAAACTTTTGTGTGTATTTCCAAAGCTTTACTCATACAGTCTTTTAATCTTAAGCGAGTAACAAGCCACATACCTGGTAATCTTGAACCTCTTCTTGGGTCAGGAAGCTTTAAACCTGCAATTTGAACCCCTGTTAAGTTAATAGTTGGAGACAGAAAAGGGGAGAGTAGGGGAGAGGGTGAGGGAGAGAGAGGGTTGGTATTTGCATCACTGTAAAACCAGGGGAGGGAGTAAGTGCATGATTCTTGCAGTAATGTCAATGTATACTGCTTAATGAGCCTGATATAATTTGCATATCTCTAAGTCTATGTAAAACATTCAAGGAACAAAATTTATTTGAATACTAGATTTTTTTACAAATTCTCAAC